CTCCCTGCCCACGCAGGCTTCTGCTGGGCGGGCCCCGCAACAAAGCCGTGTTTGCAAGTTTCATGCTGCATCTCAGGCTCATTTCTGCTCCAAGGTCAGCATCTCCCCCTGGCTCGCCCTAGTCACAAGTTTCAGCTCTAGATCGTGGAAACGCAACCCTGTGAAATATGCCCCTTATCAGCCCCTCTGTCTGATTCTGTGACTCGCCTTCTAGAAACCGGCATTGAGGGATGGGGTGGGCTGTGCCGGGCTACAGGAAGAGGCCTTTTAATTGGGGAGCAGCTGCATTTAAGGGGAAGCTGTGGTTGGGGTGGTGGGAGACATGAGCAAAAGCTCATGACATGAAAAGCTGTGGGTGGAGGTCCTAAATGTCCCTTCCGCCTGCTCCAGACGTCTGGGTGTTGTGAAGGTGGGAGCCGTGTGTGCTGCCTTCTCCCACCTGGCAGCCCCATGTGAGGGATCAGCCCCAGGGCCTCTCGCTAAGCTGGCGGTGCATTCTGTCTCAGATCGTAGGCCTGCACGGTCCCTGCCTGTGGGTCTTCCCAGGTGCTTGTTCTGCTGTCGGCTGTCAGGAGAGCCGATGCCATCCCAGAGAATCTCAGCAACAGCCTTGGGGCCCCAGAGGCTCCCCTGGGTCCAGCGACCCCCGAGCAGCAGTGAAGATTTTTGCAGGGATTCGGGCTGCTTCGGCAGGTGCTTCCCTTCCCCTTCAGCGGTCCTCGCCCTGTGTGTGTGTGGCCCGCAGGGGCCTCGGGGCAGCCCCGGTGTGCTTGGCCAGCCCCTGCAGCTGAGCAGAGAGGTGGCCCTGCATAGGTAGAGCAGTGCACACACGTGACTGTCACCCGTCGATCCTGGCCAGCCCAGCACGGGTGTTTGAGGCTGCTGCCGTGTCAGGATGCCTCTGCCTGCTGGGTCACCCACGGTTGTTGTAGCCACTTTGCTTTGGGGTAAAACTGCTCAATTCCTGAAATTCCAAAAGCCACAGGATCATGTGGCTGAGTCAGCAACAGACACCACATCAGACCTCTAACGACAGCGCGTCCTCCTGTAGGCAAGATGTCAGCTAGACTCGTGCTGTGTCCAGGAAGGCCAGAATGGGCTCAGAGACACCACAGGGCGGCTTTGTGTGGCAGGACCAACGTTCTCCCCCTCGGTCACTCGGCTCCGGGAAGCACGTCCCATTCTGCCACCAGCAGCCCCGTCAGCCTGTGTCGCCTGAGGAAGAAGCAGCTCCCCAGGGAAACAGGTGGTGTTACCCGGATGCGGTGGCATTATGGCTGGATGGCCAGAAAGCCCCCGATGCCTCCCTGGAGACTTCTTTCCCCCTCAGAGTCCGTGAGGCCCTTGGACTTGGTCTTCACTGGACAGCTGGCCACTCTGAAAACTCCGGCAGCTCGGCCTGCTATCACTGTTTTCCACTAAGTGTCTCTAATTTTACTACTGTTTATATGCAGCTCCAGCTCTAGGCGGTCCCAGGCCCAGGGAAGGGCATCAGAGCTGGCCTCGAGCTGGTGCACTGCGTCCCCTACGATGAGTGTGTCCCTGTTTGTGCAGAGGCCAGCCTGAAACCAGCGAGTAATTGACACCAGGGGAGTCACCAAGCTTTCCACAAAGTTAATGCTGAGCAAGGTGCTGAGAGGAAGGCACTGATAGATTTTCCGTGATGTCCAGCTGCAGCTGGAATTATTCTGAAATGGGTGGGGCGAGCTCATCTCTGGGAAAGGAAACTGTAGAAGGGAAGTAGTCATTTTGACTAGAGGGCCACCTGGACCCTCTGATCCTCATCAGATATTTCCTCGGGCTCGGCTGGGTCCCTGGCACTGTGTGAGGCGGCTGGCATTCCTCTGTTGTTCCCTGGTGGTGTATGTGGTCACCCTGGGTTCCATCTCTGCGACTATAAAATGGGAGTACGGGTGACATTGTGGGGTTCTTTTCAGCCTTGGGGCTTGAGCAGTGTCTAGTCATTGGTAGCCTAGTTTTTGATCACAAACCTCTGTTTTTAGGGACTTTTCAGTAAACATTGTGCCTTGGTCTCCTCCCCCCAATTCCCCCAACTATAGAGGAAATAGGGCACTCCCTTCAAGCCTGGGGGCCAGCCCCTGAGTTAGTACCCCATTTCCCATAGTCCCTTAAAGGGTCATTTGCCATTTTAATGTATATAATAGATCCTAACCTATAATGTGTCAGTTATATCCTAATTTACTAGAAATTGTTCAAATTGTCAGAAGCACTGAATGATGTGTCAATCATTGTGAGATGGGAAGTCTCTGCAGCTGCACCTCCTGGGGTCTTCTGGGCCCCTCTGCCTCTGACACCAGCTAGACTGTAGGGGCAGCAGGTGCTGAGCTGGGTGGCTTGAATTTAACTGGATTCCCCAGTATGTGGGTGCACGAGGCCTTCTGGCCTGAGGGAGCATGTGTAGCATGCCCCTTTCTTTCTAGAAGCAAACTAGCGGTGGCCCAGCAAAGCTTCCTCTTGTCATCAGTGCTGGGGTCTCATGTGGCCCCCTGAGAGCCTGGTTCTCAGGACACGTGATTCCCACCCACTGTCACCACCCACCCCTGTCTGTGCTCAGCACCCTTCCCGGGTCCAGGCCCCTCTGAGCATACAACGCCCGTGGGTCTCATGGACCAGCCCCTGCTGTGTTCTCCTTGCCCAGCTCGGATGAGGGCAAAGGCTGGGCTTCGCCAAGGAGAAAAGCAGCCCAAGTCAGGGAGGGAGGCAATCACTAGGCAACCTGGAGTTTGTTTCCCAGGTAACGGGATGCATGCACTGACGCTGTGGATGGACAGCTTGTGGTGGCTCTAGGTGCCTGCCTGGTACCTGTCGTCATTTTCCTCTGTGGTTGCTTTTTAATTAACAACTTGGGTTTCTTATCATGCTGTGAACTCTGCAGACATTGTCCGATTAACCCTCCTGCCCACATCTCTGGGAGTCAGGTCCGGTGCTCCTCAGTCACCTTGTGGGAGGGACAGCCTGGAGCAAGCGAGCACATCTGCCCGCGCAGCCCAGCACCGCTAGTCCCACCGGAGCCCGACCCTGGGCTTCCCTCTGGGTGTGGGAGGGGAGGAGACTCTTGCGGGGAACGGGCCGTCTCACCATTTGCTTGGCAGAAGTAGGAGCTTCAGCGCGTGGACCCTGAGGTGACACCAGCTGCCCCTCCTTTCAGCTGCTTACTCCATCCAGCGAGATGCTTTGCACCCCGTGCCTCAGTTTCCTCGTTGTTAATGCAGATGCAGGTGTGAGGATGAAGTGCGAGGGCGGATTCCATGTGCAGTGCCTGCTCCCTCACTTCCCTGTCTGCAGGGTCAGGGGTCGGGGAGGTCTGGGGCCCTGCCTGAAGACACCCTGGGTCTGGGGGGGAACCTCCTCCTGTTTGCACACACCGCCTTGGCCTCTCATGGGCTGGACCTGCCATGGGGATCAAGGGCGGGTGGAGACTGGCGGTGGGTACGGGAGGTCCCCCCTGTGCCTGCCCAGCCCAGTCCAGAGGATGTTGGGGATCAGCTTCGGGCACTGGGGTCCTGGGGAGGCGGGAGGGGCTCAGCTGCCACTCACAGGGACTGGGATTGCTTGTGAGACCCAGCCCAGGATGGACACAGCCGCCCAGAGGTGGCCCTCACCACCCCGGCTAGGACGAAAGGCTTTTCTCTGCTCCATGTTCAAAGATGGTTGTCGCACGGGCTGCAGCTGTGGGTGGGAGCTGTCCAGGGCAGAAACCACCGTGCAGCGGGCATGTGGGCACCTCGGCGTGTGCCCTTTGAGTGGGAATGCAGCCGCAGCTCCAGACGGGGGTCGCCTCTCAGCTTCTTACTCAAGTGTGTGGCTAGCTGGGTAATGTGCCCTGGGGGTCGGATAGGGCCCTTACACACCAGGGGCCCAGTGGGCCCCACCCAGCGGCCATTTCAGGGCTGCCAGGACAGGAGCCCTTGGGGTGCTTCCAGGCTAAGAGGCCTGCCAGTATGTGAATTTGAAAGGAATGGTTGATTAGAGAAAATGCTGCTTTTCGGTGCAGAGGAGGAAGTGCCCGGGCTGGTATGTCTACCTGTGTGCACCTCGTGGCAGAGGGCAGACACTCCTGTCGCTCGGGTTGGAGGCATTGCTGCCACCTGTGCCTCCATCTGCAGGGACAGGTGTCCTTCGTCTCTGTCGGGCAGCAGCAAAGCAGGTCGTATGATCGCTCTGACTGGTCGCTGTACCTGATGAGCGTTGCTCACTCTGTGGTCCTTTGAGAAATTCTATGTTCTGTCTCGAGTCCCCAGCGAGTCTGCACGTGCACCTTCTCCACCACCCCGGCGGACTAGCCCAGGTGAGGGGCAGGGAGCCGTGCCCAGGGCTCTGGTTTCCACCAGAGGTTTCTTCAGGCCGCTCCCGCGGGGTTCAGACACCTTGACAAGGCCCTCCCATTTCATGTTACCCCCTCGTGTGTGTTTGGAAGGGCAGTGGTGCCTGGCAGGCACAGGGAGGCACAGCCTCGGTGCTTCAGCCTCGGGGGAGTTCGGAGTCTGACCCCCCCCCCCTTGTCCCCAAAGGACTCTGGGCCTGGGGGTGGTGGGGCAGCTCCCGTGCGGCCCTTCTGGCAGCGGCAATTGTGGACTTCAACAGATTCCACGTGGCGATGGAGTTAGCTCCACTGTGCTTCCTATTAGCCACGTGAGGTCGCTCATCGAGACCTGGGTCCCACCTGGACCCCACCCCCTCCAGGCCCAGCAGACAAGACAGCATGTTACCTTGCGCAGTCGAATGAACTGCACAGATGTCCCCACTCGGTCTCTTTGGCTTGTCCCAGAATCTCCCCTAATGGCTCCAAAGTGACCTGTGGGCTCCCTGTCAGCCTGGAGAGTGGGGAGGTTGCTGTGAAGACAGTGGGCGTCCTGCAGACCCGACAGGCATGTGGATGGGGTGGGCCAGGGGTCCTCACTGGGAACCCTGGCACGTGGAGGAGACCTGGCCCCTCATTGCACTGTCCCCGCCCACTGAGTCCTCCCCTTTCCTTGCAGGTATCCGCCCCCAGATCATGAACGGCCCCCTGCACCCCCGCCCCCTGGTGGCGCTGCTGGACGGCAGAGACTGCACCGTGGAGATGCCCATCCTGAAGGACCTGGCCACCGTGGCCTTCTGTGATGCACAGTCCACTCAGGAGATCCACGAGAAGGTGGGCCCCCGCCGCACAGGGCAAGGTCACCCCCAGGTCCGGTGGCAGCAGCTGGGCCTCAGGGAGCACATGCTGCTACATCTTGACACCTCCCTCCTGTCTTCCCGGGCTAGTCATTCCCACCGTCTGCCCAACGGTCACCTCTCGGGCCTCCCTGTCTCCCCCCCTCCCTCTACTGTGTCACCCAGAGTCACCAACAGGCCCCCAAAATGCACAGCCACAGGCCACCCACCTGGGGGACGCTGTCACACCAAGACCTTGTCCTCAGCCGGTCATTTCCCTCCCGGAACTCTTGGCTGCAGGCTCAGGGGTGATGGGGGCTCCGCCCTGTGCTCTGCCTGCCCCGTCGCAGGTTTTAAATGAAGCCGTCGGCGCCATGATGTACCACACCATCACCCTCACCAGGGAGGACCTGGAGAAGTTCAAGGCCCTGCGAGTGATCGTGCGGATAGGCAGCGGCTACGACAATGTCGACATCAAGGCTGCCGGGGAGCTGGGTGAGTGCGCGGCTGGCGGGGCTGGCGCACGTGGGGAGGACGAAGCCAGAGGTGCCCTGGCCCTTCCGTGCAGAGCAGACCATGGAGTGACCACACATTGGTGTGGTCCGGCCAGGACTCATCACCCTGAATGGTGCTGGGTACACAGCTCAGGGCTTCTGGGGTGGGCAGGCCCTGTCTATGGGTCTCCTCTGGTCCTGGGGAGCAGCCTTCTTCCCAAGGAACCTGCCCAGCTGGGCAGATGGACCTCCACCGGCCACCTCCTGCCCAGCCTTTGCCATTAGGACTTTCCAAAGAGAAGCAGAGGCCGCAGATGGGCACCCAAAGGCAGGTCTGATGCTTCCTGATGGTGCTGGGCGCTCTGCAAAGTCATTCTTGTCTGGGAATGTGGATGTGGCAGGTTGGGGTTGCTGCCACACTGTGGAACCCCGAAGCACAAGACAAGAGACTGTCATTTCCCCATAAGTCCTGGTCTTCCTCTCCCGTCCTGGAAGTGGGGAGCTCTGTGGCTCATGGCTCAGAAGATGTAACCTGGTTTTTCTGGTTCCCTGCTGGCCGGGCTCCATCATCTCAGCCCCCCTCGGGGGCGATTTGGCCATGCACAAGAGTTGAGGGGATCGTGTCAGCCTGCAGACGTGTACGGGGCCTGGGGAAGGGATGGCTCCCACCTCTGTCCCGAGCTTCTGCCTCCGGCCTCAGCCGCACTCTGAGCCCCTCTTTGTTGCAACAAAGAAAGCTGGGAGGACGTGAGTCCTTAGAAGCATATCTAATATAAACTAAAATTATCCATTTTTTCCTTGTGCTCTCAGAAGAGCTAAAATTCCAAGTTCAAGCAACGACCGAGAACATGGTTTAACACACCACAAGGGGTGTTCTCAGATGCGTGCCTGTTCACACGCCTTCCCGTTTCCACGACACGCCTGCCCCTCGCAAAACGGCTCCTGGCAACGCGTCGCGGGCGGTGTTCGTGTTCAGTTTCCTTGAGGGAAGCAGCCGCTTCCTTCCAGGGAGGGATGGGAGGGCCTCGGCCGCTTCTCCAAGCTCCCCACACACCTGTGCGCAGGTGGGAGGCCTTGGGGGGCAAGGGGGCTGTCCCCAGAGTCCTGTGGCCACAGAAGACAGCCAGGGCCTACAAATGTAAAAGGGACTTCAGCGGTGGCATTTTCGTTGATCCTGGTCCGATCTGGTAAGGGAGCTGCTCGAGACACCTGCTGGGCCGCTTTGAAGGGCAGTTTTCAAATGTGGGGCCGGAGAAGGAAAAGGGGCCTCCATCCAGCCGCCCTCTGTCTCCAGTGGCACTTCACAGGCATTCGATCAGCAGACCTTCTGTAATGAGGGCAGAGCAGCAGGCGGCTGCAGGCGTGCCCTCCTGAAAACGCTGAGGGGAACGGTCGTGTTGTGTTTCCGGGGGAGGGGGCAGTCCCTTTCCAGCACACACTGAAGCCCTTTCATGAAGCCTTCGGGGGCCCAGGGTGCCTCTCCCTCAGCCCAGACATGACGGGCGAGGCTCAGGGAACCAGCGTTTGACCTGCCTGTTGCAGGTGAGGATGGTACCAGGGACCAGTAGGGGGATTCTGCAGTGTCTCCCGACGACCAGGCGGCGACAGGCGGCGGCTGGAGGCCTCAGGAGCCGAGGGCCCAGGGCGGGGGGCAGAGCCCTCCCGTGCTGTCACTCGGGGCGCCTTCCTAGCAAGCTCAGTCATCTTGTTTCCAGTTCGGTCCAGTTCAGAAGGGGTTACTGCAAAGGGTGAGCGCTTTGACCAAGAAAAAGCTGTTGAGCTGTGCTGGGCACAGGCCTCGGGGTCTGTGGAGGCTGCCAGTCTTGCTGTGGGTACCAGAAGCTGGTCCTGCGGCGTTTGGAGAAGCCCCTGAAAGTGGACCACGCCCACTGACCTGAGGAATGGCCCCGAAAGTTCCACCTCAAGAGGGTGACCAAGACTGTTTCTGGGGGAAGGTGCGTTGCCACCTGGGCTGGATGGTCCCCCACGATGCCAGCGGCCTCTCCCCCCGTCCTTGGTACACCCCAAGCCCACATACACATTGGTCTCAGGCCCTTCGCACAGGCACTGGGCCAACAGAGCTAAATCCCAAGTTCCGGTGTGAAGGCTGAGATTCTCCCCCAGTGTCGTCTCAGCTCGTCACCCAGGGCGCAGCCAGACCTTGGGCCCAGCGGTTGACAGCTGCAGCAGTGTCCACGCTCAACTCTTCAGCTGCTGGACTTCTGCTTGGCTTCGGCCAGAACAAACTGAGCCCCTTGGAGGAATAAAAGGCGTCCTGCCTGCCCGAAGATCCTAAACCTCGAACATCTGCCTCCACCTGGGCCGACAGCAACACTGCTGTGGCTTCTGGTCCGGCCCGAACTCTGTGCCTGTTTGTGTCTAAGGAAGTGGGCCATTGTGGGCACTCCACCGACTCCCGGCAGGTCTGTCACCTCGATCTCATGAAGACACTTTTCTCCTGCCCAGTGGCTGTGACCAGGTGGGGCGGGGGCTTTCACACTTCTGAGCTGCCTGACAGCTGCTGGACAGGGGCCACTCAGCACAGTAGTTCCTGTTCCCATCCAGCACAGCCACAGTTGCCATGGCTGACTGTCCCACCCCCAGCTTAAGAAGATAGAAGAATGCAGAGCTGCCCTCCAGATGGCCTGGCCCTGCATCCCTGGCGGTCCCTCCTGTGGTCTCAAATCTGGGGTTTTTTTGTTTGTTTTTAAGATTTTTATTGGGGAATTGGGGGGATGAGAACAGACAAGTTGCTGTCCTTTTGTTCTTCAATCTAGTTGTGGAGGACGTTGCTTCACTGGCCCAAGTTGGCACCATCATTGTGCTCTT